TTGATTATCTGTGCTAGCCAGCTATCTGGGCAAGAGATATCTCTGTATTAATTGTCTGCCTGACACATCCCACAGAAATCTTCATTTCTGTGCTTCTCTGCCTTGCTCAGATTGCAAAACTGATGTCAGAAATACCACGTGACCTAAACTGAGACCTTGGTACTCAGAAAACCGTGACAGAGGCTGAGGTTGGGTGGGCTCCCTCCTACACATCTCATTTACAAGTGCAGAAAGGTCCTGATGGGGGACTCCATGGCCACCCTCATGTCATTAGCAATGATCCTTCCACACCCAACTTAGGGTACCAATGCCTCCAAAACCTGCAAGAGTTTCCCGATGCTTACAACAGGCAAGATCCTCCGTGACTGGGAAGCTAGAATACATACACATTTTCAACTCCAGTGATGTTTCTCCATGGACCCTTCGACGCCATCATAATATGCCATGTACAGTGGTCTAAGGGCAACAACTCTTTCCTCCATCTTTCTAACATGTGAGACTTCCCCAGATGTGATCGACTTCACCTCTCTATGCCAAGCTGCTTCATTTGTCATATGGGGGAACATACACTTGCTAAGAGAGCTCCAGTTATCAATGAGTTTACATGCACAACACTCTGAAATAATGCTCGGGCAACCATGAGCCAGAGGGGGTAGCGACATCAGTAGAGACTCTTCTATAATGATGGCAAATGGGACCTCCTTCAAAAATCAGCCACAGCCGCTCAGAGGGACAGCAGCATTTCCATGTTCACAGGCGCTATAAACCCTTACTCGATTGTGCAGCGCGGGCTTCCCTGTCTCATTCTGAAGACTAGATTCCCCTCTACCACACCATACTTATCCCTCAAAGACTTCCCACAACACGTGCAACACAGTGGGCCCTCGGGGAACATCTGTGCAATGAGAGTTAATCTGTTTTGTGAACCGGCACCTGAGGCACACACAGCCATCTGGGATTCCTTTTGAGAACACGTGTGAGAGCCCAGGTACAGATTCTCATCATCTGAGAAAGCACTTGAGAAAACAATCCCTTGAATACGACTGTGCACACACTGAAGGTGATTCGCCTTGAGATTCCTGGGCGGGGAGCACAAGGAGGTTAGATTCACACCAGTTCGCTTTAACCGTTCATCACACGGCGGGCAGCAGATTGGAACTTACTTTCCTAACTTTCTAGACAGCTTTCATCAAATTCTTGCCCTGTGGGGACTTAAAGTTGAGGAGAGACATGGTTACACTCCAAAGCAGAGATCCACTGGGGAGGGCGAACTAGGCAGCAGGTGTGGTGTCTGGGTAGAGATTGGGAGAAGTTCTTCCACTAACTCCAGATTGAGAAACCAGCAAAGAAGGAGAGAGAGAGAGAGAGAGAGAGAGAGACAGAGAGAGAGACAGAGAGAGAGAGACAGACAGAGAGACAGACAGAAACAGAGACTCAAGGACACCGTGACTCTCTTCTCAGTGGGTACAGTGCCAAAGTTGTCTGTCAACGCATATCCAGCCTCAGTGCCATGGCTCCGGCTGGTGATGGAGCTGCCTCTGTCAGGCTGACTAAAGTACCTACTACCTCCAAATCCAGACACACAGACACACAACAAAAACAAGGCTGTTCAGATAATGATCACACAGAGAATGAAGTGGCACTGAGTCATCAGGGTGAGCCTGACACCAGAACAAATGGGAGATGTGGCCATTAGTGCAGAGTCCCCACATTTCCTGCTGGCACATGATTTGGAGGACGTCCTCACTCAGGGGCCTGTTTTATTTGTCGAAGCACAGGGTGGTAAATTACAGACCATCACAGGCCATTCTGGGCTCTGAGTTTCTCTGGAGCTATTCGTATCACCACCCATAGGCCACTAAAACCTGCCCATACTCAGAATGATTGATTCTGCTCAAAAGTGAGGCACGGAACTCCAGAAAGTCCACTTCAACTAAGTCATTAGCTTCTTTATGGATCTGGGGTGGGGGAGGGTTCATAAGGAATGGGACCGGCGAGTCCCATCTTCTGAAGAGTAAAAAAAGGGTGTTTGAAGAGATAGGAGGAAGCAGGAAGGAGCTGGGTGTGCACCAGCAAAAGGGATCTGGAAAGCACAGGAGGCAGCGGCCTCACTGACATTGCAAAGCCCAACTAGGAGGCCCCGTGGCTGGGTCCTTCATCGCTAGACTGGATGTGAAGGAAAATGGAGAACCCAGCAGAGGCCCTGTCCCTGCTTCTCTGAAATTAGCTGGAGAATGTCACCTGGGAGAAAAAAGACAAAGAGGAGTGTCCCGACTTGCACAGCTCTCCCAGGGAAGCTCTGATGGAGGCCATTGCAGAGGTGGTGACTTTGGAGGGATAGGCAGTCCATGGGCACTGACAGAAGAAGCCTGGGTTTTGCAGCTTGGCAAGTTTTGGCTCGCCACCTGACCCCCATTTAGCTATTCTGATGTACTACGAAGAAGACAGCTCTGGCCTGGAATGGCTGTCTCCCTCAGCCCCTCTCAGGCAGGCAATGAAAGCAAGATCCACTTTGAAAATTCTCCCCCGTCATGCAAACTGACATGGGCATGCTTTTCAAAAACCCACAGCCAATCTGTTGATCATTACTTATTTACAAAGGCCTTCGGGCAGAAAGTCCTGTAAAAACCATACTTGATATGGTATACACTAGCTTTCTCTGCTTATGGAAAAAAGTCCCCCCAAGGCTACTTCAAACCATCACTTTCTATTGCACATAAAATGTAGCACGTAACACTAAAGTATTTAATATATATGCTATAATATATCTACAGGAAAGGCATTTGTGTAGAAGTATGTTACCCTGGATTTGGTAATTTGATGTTTTGCTGAAGGCTACGACTTAAAAAAGCCTCCACCTCTTACAGGAGACCTGTCATCTTGGTACCCAAGAGCCAACAGAATAAAGAAGTACCCTTAAGCAGCAAAACTTTGACACAGCTTTGAAGCATATGAAAACAGTGTAACTCCTCAGAATGATTATTGCTCAAGATCAAAGCGACGAGTCATACTTTACATAGCAAACAGGGACAGGGAATTGGGCTCCCAAGGTTTCACATTTTTCAGATTCCTCTTTATTTATTTATTTGCTTCTCTAAATTTAGGCAAAAGAAAGCACTTGGGCTTTTCTCTCCTTTAAATGGAGAAAACTATTAGCATTAGATAAGCCGATTACCTAAAGGTGAGTAAATAGGACTTGAATGCTAGGCTGACAACTGGTGTCATAAAACCCAGTGGCTTGGCAGCTGGTGCGTTTTATTCCTTCTCGTAGTAAACTGTAAACATGCATGTAAATCAGCAGAACCCCAGCAAGGCTGCACAGAGGAGGTTTAGGACACTGAAGGTAGCCTTTCACGGAACAGAGAGGGGCACACATGACAAGAGAGAGAGAAAGGGCCAGGTGGATCTGCCACTGGGAACCCACGTCCCCATCCCTGAAAGACAAGTCCCAATCTATGACTCAGAGAGAGGTGAGGCAGGCACAGGGTGGAGAAGTCCATGTCGGGAAACTAAAGGAGAGGGGTCCTTGGCCATGGAAGAGGAAAGTGATGTCAGAAAGGCAGGGATTTCCAGAAGATGAGCAGTACAGTTCTGAAATCTCAGTCCCTTTCCTCCCTCTCTCTCTGTAGAACACATGTGAGTGCGTGCGTGTGTGTGTGTGTGCGCACGCGCACGCACACACACACACACACACACACACAAACACACACACCCCAGAGCACAACGTCATTCCTCAGGCACTATCCACCTTTTCTTTTGAGACAGGGTCTCTCACTTAGAGTTCTCTGACTTACAACTAACCAAGTAGTCCAGTGTGGCTGGCCAGCAAGCCTTAAGAACCCACCTGTCTCTTTCTCTCCAGTTTTAGTATTACCCATGAGCCTCTGCACCTGGCTCCTCCCCCAGAACCCGTGGATCGTGGGTCTTAAACTCAGGTCTTAAGTTTGTAGAGCAAACCCTTTACCCTTCGAACTAATTCCAGGATCTGAAATCATTCCTTCTCATGAAAGTGTGGGAGAGTTAAGAGGTTTGAGGAAATAGATGATGAGACTGGGGAACAATCAAAGAGACAAAGGTGACACAAGGAATTTGCCCAAACAGGAATTTGTAGAGTTGTATTGAGACTCTGTTTTAATTTGTTATTTATTAGGTGATGTCATAGTTTAGAAATGGGGAGAAGAGAAAGGAAAAGAGAGATAGACTGAGAGAGAAAGGAAGGAGGGACGGGAGGAAAGAAGGAAGGAAGGAAGGAAGGAAGGAAGGAAGGAAGGAAGGAAGGAAGAAAGGAAGGAAGAAAGGAAGGAAGAAAGGAAGAAGGAGGGAAGGAAGGAAGGAGGAGGGAAGGAAGGAAGGAAGAAAGGAAGAAGGAGGGAAGGAAGGAAGGAAGGTTGCTAGCACAACCAGTTCCATAATTAATATTGCTTTTAACCTGAGCAGAACTGGATTACTTTTGAACTTTGCATTGGCAAGCCCATGGATTATTAAACTTTTTTTTCCTCAGTCAAAATCAATTAACAGAAATTTGATTTTCATCGACAGGATAAAAGGAAGGTAATCTTCAGGTTCATTTTTGATTGTGATGATACATCTCACATATGGCCTTAAGTACAGAAACCAGTCCTCAGAGGGACTCCAGCAGAAAGAGTCTTGCCGCAGGCAAACTAACCACAGAGTTCCTCTGATTGGTTCCCGGCGTCATTAGTGCCACTGCAGTTTAGTAACTACACACAGACAGGACATGGTGACAGCTAAGACTTTAAAGCCTATGTATTTTTCAAACAGCTTTTCAAACTGTTTTTCGTGACAGAATTTTTTCAGCTCTATCATTAACTGCTGTCAAGCTGACAGAATAAATACTCCAGCCTTTACGAAGCCATCTAACGATCTCTCTCCCCTCCCCCATGGAGCTGACTGAGGAGGAAGGTCTGGGCCTGGGCTTGGGCAGGTGGAGAGGCCGGAAATGGAGCTGGGGAGGTGACCATGCTGGGGGATCTGCTTACCTCATCAGCTTCGGGGAGGAGTTGGGTGAGTTCCTCATACCCCCATTACGTTGCTTTTTTTTGGGTGACAGCGTTGGCGGCTGCTCATCTTCAACTGCAAATACAGGCAGCTTGTGAGATTATGAACAGTTTGAGGGAAGACTGCGAAACACAGGCAAGATATCAAAGGACACACATTCAAGGCTCAGTCACTCACTAGAGAGTCAGGGCTGCCTTTAGAGGCCCAGTAACAAAGACGGAATGCGTTAGTCAGAGAGGCCGGCTGAGAGGAGGGTGAAGCAATACTGCTTTATGCACCAACCCTTGAACATGCACTGTAAAGAGACTAGAACAACCTATAAATGCCCTGGTGTAAGAAAGAATGAGAAGTAGTGATTTTATCTACATATAAAAATACATATCATTATTTTTAGGAGTTAATTTTGGTTAGGAATTAATACTTTGCTTGGTTGAATAATCAAACGAATTTTCTTGTAACCAAAATCAGAAATAGAGTTGTATTTGAGGTAGCGGATTAACAGCCAGCCTGCTGCTTCTATAAGTGAACCAACGTAACTGGTTCCCAACCCTTGCACCCACAGCAAGAGCCTTGAGGAGAGGCAGGGATTCCAGGCCTTAGCTGCCCATGTTTCACTGGCAGGGTTCCCAGGGCTGGGAACCCTAGTGCATGTGGGCTCAAGAGTCCCCAGCCCAGCTCAGCTCTCTTCCTTGCAGCGGCCACCAGGGAGCGTACTTGGGGCTGGAGAAGAGCACTGGAATGAAGGAGAAGGCTGTCACTGAAGGATGACACCCCCAGAGGAGGCAGTGGCGGGTGGGGGATGGAGGGCGGCAGAGACGGCCTGGAAACCGTAAGCTTGCTTTCCAAATGTCTGAACCACACAGATCACTAAGCAATGTGAAGCTTTACTCACAGACAACACAGCGCACTGCACTCTGCGGCTTTTGCCCAGAGACACCCACTAAGAAGCAGTGGAGACGGGTTAGCCTGCACCATGCTTGCTTTCTGAGAGCGCAGCTGGGTAATACTCGCCCAGCCTGTCACCCAAAGACATGTGCAACAAAACTCTAGCCCTGCTCCCCCCACCCTCACACAGTCCAGGCTAACACTGCCATGTCGAGATGGGAACAGAGGATCCTTGGAGTTTCAGAGTTGATTGTCATATGACTAGGAGGAAACAGCCCCGAAACTCAGAATGCATGGAAGTTACCTTAAAGCTAAGAAGAGAAATATTAGTAGTGACAACATCAAAAGAAGCTTGGTGTATGTTAATATGTATGAGGCTTGGGGAGGGGGCAGCCAGCTCAGCCGCTTGCTATTGTCCAGATGACCAATAACAGAGCAGGCTCTCTAGAGCACCTCTCTGAAAACCCTAAAGAAACATGGGCAGTGAGGACACAGCACCAAAGGGGTTCCACCGGTCTGACGGACCTCCAGCTTTGCTTCAGAATGTCACACTTCTTCGTCTCTGCCCTACTGTCGGTTTGGGGTTACCTCATTCTGACTGACCCAAGGCAAGGGGAAAATGGTGTGACTGGGTGAGAGGAATACCAGATGGAATCAAGGCCAGAAAGGACCTGCAAAGGCTCACAACCCATTCCCCCTGCCACCTGCTCCCTCCTCCACCCCCACCTCCCACCCTAGGCTCCACTCAGGCTGAGACCCTATCAGTCACCTAGTGCTCCAGGCTGAGGCTATGTGGCTGGGAGGATATCGCGTCTTATCAGAAATGAGTATCCACAGCAAATCACACTGAGACTAAGCAGCACTTAAAAGATTAAAGAAATAAATACAAGCCACATAAATGGTATTGAAAAAAAAATCACTTAGAGTTGATATGCATCTCCCAGCCAGCAAACAGGCACTCTGAGTTTGACCTGAATTCATCTTCCTTTCAGAGGACGGGGGACAGGCATCCAAAGCAATTCAAAGCAGGCTAAAGTATGAGTGTGTGTACGTGCTCACACACATGCCTAAATAGACTTTTACGTTTCCCCACCTTTGGCTGGAGAAGGAAGTCTTGCATTGATTCTTTGCATAATCCAAGGTCACCTTTTAATATGGACCACTGTTAAACTGCAGCAGGGTGACCCATATAGTTGTTACCACACTACTTAAATGAGTGTTTAATTTTTGAGAGCGTAAGTATGTTTATTGGGGTATAAATTATTCTTCTCCTTTCATAAGCTTACAGAGCAATGCCCCAAAAGGTCTTTCGTCTATCCTAGTCAACTGCCAGCATTCCTCAAGACCACCACACGTCACCATGGCTGTGGCCAATTATGGAAAGAGTCTCTATTAGTTACTTTCATTGGCTTTTCTGCTGAATTCTTTGCTGAACTTTTCCTTCCCCATTAGCTCTGGGCCTCTAAGAAAATATCCTCTTGGATTAAGCATTCCTTTTCCATTTACCTAGCCTTGGCTGTTTGCTGCCACTGCTCTTCAGATGGGAGATCTGTAAGTTAATATGTGTTAGCCAGCTCCAGGGAGACACCTTACTGCGGAAGGACTGTGATGCCTGCTTCTATGCAAGGCAACTATTTATTTTCATTGCAACTCTGAGAGATCATCCATCATAATCATAGTGCATTTAAGCTGGGATTTGTTCACTTCAATGGAACCATGTTCAAAGCTTTATTTGGAGCCTGGAAATCTGGTCCCTGAAGAGCTGGGATGGAAAATGTCCTCAGCTTAAATATATGAATGCTGTGTAATGGGTAACATTACACATGGCTTAGGTCTCAGAAGCGGAGCATGGATAAATTCTCCTTACTAAGTAGGACATAAAACATATTTAATTATTATCCTTCCTATGGGTTCCACCAATTTCTGTATATTTAAAAAAAAAAGCAGATCTAGAAAACCTTCTAGCTGAGCTCTAAGATATGATTCTTGTTTCATGGCTTCTATGACTACATGGGAGAAATAAAAATGGGATTAAAGGAGAGACTGAAATTTACTCACTTTCATGAAAGACAAACATGTTGAAGTAGCAAACCACTGCCTCGCAAGCAGGCATACCCACGGGCTTGCATTGAACCTGCTTTCTGGCTAATTGCAATATACCTTCCTAGCATTTTCCCTGGCCTCTGCGTGGAGTGGGCTGCATGAAGACATGCTCCTTTAAAGAAGCCTGAGTTACCAGCTTCTTCAAAATACAAACAAGTTCGGGAATCTAATGTGGAATTTTTATAGGAGGCAAACTCTCTCCAGTCTCCGAGTCCTCATAAAATTCAAGGGCTTGTTTTTGCACATCCCTAAGTATAACACTTAATGTTCTGTTGTAACTTCCCAGTGCTCTCTTGTCTAATAGGCCCTGAATCTAACAGTTTTACAGTTTGGGGAGAAGAGTCAGCGTTAGAAAAATGTCAGGCCGGTCTAATGAGGCTTCAGATCCCCTGGTTTGCGCTGGAGTTTAATTTAAACTTACAATGATGTTTTAACATGTTTGCGTTTTCTTGACTAAAGAGGATTCATTATTTCAGTGACATAACCTCCAGACAATGCTCTGGGAATTGATTTAAGATGTGGCGGTAATTCCAACAGCCTTAACGCAGAGCTGAGCATCTGTAACAACATTTCATTCCACTTTCCATCAGCATTCTGTTTTTAAGCAAGAGCAAAGCAACGTCTTCCAGAAACACTGGCCAGGGGCCTGGCCTTACTTCGAAATGATCACATATTTTACTAGATTAAAAAAAAAGAAAAGAAAAGAAAGAAATCCCTGCCTTTGTGTTACTCCCTAAGCTGCAAATATTATGGTGGGGTTCACTGATGCCTCTTGTAAGGGTCCTTGAAATGGGCGTGACTGTGATTTTCAGGTTGCCGGAGCAGTCTGATACGTGTGTGGGATGAATCCAGCAGTCCCCTCCAGCCTAGGGCATTTCCCTCTTCCCTGTTTTCTTCATAAGATTTAGGAGGGGGGGGGGGAGGATGAAGCTCTTAGATTTGAAGGTGGGTTTGTTGGCTGGGCTTAAAAAATAGCTCAAAGCAAATAAACTCAGAAAAGTAATAAAAGGCAACAACTCATAAACATGAGTCAAACAGCTATCTCCATTACGTTATTAATCACCACATCTGGAGTAACCCACATCTGCACACACTTAGCAGATCATTAGTAATGTCATATTCACACTGGAGTCACTCAGAATAAATGGCATGCTTGAACACAAAGGGATCACGCTGAAGGGGCTTCCCACTGAAGTCAGGGCGCAAGCTGCTAGTGGGAGAGTGGGGTTGTTTTACTGATTATCCATTTTTTTATGGCTTTTCTGTTTCAAATTTTGTGGCCCAAACAAGTTAATGCATGCTGAAAGCCACGGTAGTCCTCTCTCTTCTTCAACTGAGCTTAGCATGTTACAGAGAAAGGCTGAGGGGCACCAGGCAATTATTACACATTGGGACAAAGCCCAGCACTCTGTCACCTGGCTTAGGCACATGTTGAGAATTGGGAGTTGCATTCTTGTGCACAAACGGGTCTTTGTGATAGCGTGCTCTAGCGTCAGCCTTGACTGCCGAGGAATAAGGAGAGAAGAAAACTGAAATTAATCCCTAGTGAAATTGGTCATTACAAAAGTTACCAACTGGTTTTAATACTAAATACAACTATGCTTTTGTGTTAGAATGGAAGTTTCTCCCTCATGGCTGAAGAGGAGGGTCTTTTCTTTCTTTTTCCCTCCATTGACTTCCAGAAATCCTTGGTGGAGGAGGGACATCTGAAAATTCAGAAAACAATCTTCTTTGAGTAGGAATCTCCAGACATATAAAGAATTCCTCTTCTCACCCACAACATACATGGGTGCACACACAGCAGGATCAGGCCTACTAGCTCCCAGCTGGAGAGAGTCCTGGTCAACGCTCTTTATCCTTTCTGTCCAAGTCTTTATCCTTCGTTGCTATACTGCTGCTTCTCTCCCCAGACCGTCAGCCTGATTGGCCATCTTGGTTTTGACATCGCTGCTTACCTTGATCTAAACCTAAATGCTACTCCTCAGACGCTTCTCAGAAAGAGTAATGCTGGGGGTTCAGGGTATAGCTCAAAGGTAGACTGCTTGCTCAGCATGTGTGATTATGTCCTGGGTTCTATCTCAGGTACC